CCTGAACCCATGGGTCTCTAACCTGGTAGACAGCTATACCTGAACCCATGGGTCTTTAACTTGATAGACAATTGTACCCAAATCCATGAGTCTCTAACTTGGCAGACAGTTATACCTGAACCCATGTGTCTCTAACCTGGCAGACATTTATAACTGAACCCTTGGGTCTCTAACTTGGTAGACAGCTATACCTGAACCCATGTGTCTCTAACTTGGTAGACAGTTATACCTGAACCCATGTGTCTCTAACTTGGTAGACAGTTATACCTGAACTAATGGGTCTGTAACCTGAAAAACAGTTATGTACAAACCCATGGATTATTAACCTGGTAAACAGTTATACCTGAACTCATGGGTCTCTAATTTGGTGGACAGTTAAACCTGAATCCATTGGTCCCTAACCTGGCAGACATTTATAACTGAACCCATGGGTCTCTAACCTGGTAGACAGCTATACCTGAACCCATGGGTCTCTAACTTGGTGGACAGTTATACCTGAACCCATGGGTCCCTAACCTGGCAGACGTTTATAACTGAACCCATGGGTCTCTAACCTGGTAGACAGCTATACCTGAACCCATGGGTCTCTAACCTGATGAACAGTTATACCTGAACCCATGGGTCCCTAACCTGGCAGACGTTTATAACTGAACCCATGGGTCTCTAACCTGGTAGACAGCTATACCTGAACCCATGGGTCTCTAATCTGGCTAGTTAGCCCAAATTCTCATAAGATGCAATTAAAAGAAGAAAAATTCTTATTCCATTTTAACCTAACAGTATGTGAAGTACTATGGACACAACATCAGGGTGTCGATTATAGAAAGTATTGATATTTGGTGAGTGATTTTTAGATGTCTTAGAATGGCGAATAACCTAAATATAAAAACTGAATGGGGTCTCTGATCAATGCCATTGTAGAATGACATCTTTATCTGTCAGAGAAAAACCCAAGATAAAGAAAAGTGTTTGTTTCTTTACAGAACATTAATTATTAAGTGATACAATAACCACAGGAAAAAACCTGTTTTCCTGTAAAAAATACAGTTTCATCTTTTAAGACTAAGGGAGTCTAGAAATGAACATGATTCTTGGAGCTTTCATTTAAACAAGTTAAGTCTTAAGGATAGGGATAGCTTGTGATGTATAAAGATATTTAAATGTGAGATTAAACATTGTGTGATCTTAACAATGTACAGAATAAGGATATTTAAATGTGAGGTTAAACACTGTTTGTGTGATCTTAACAATGTACAGAATAAGAATATTTAAATGTGAGGTTAAACACTGTTTGTGTGATCTTAACAATGTACAGAATAAGGATATTTAAATGTGAGGTTAAACACTGTTTGTTTGATCTTAACAATGTACAGAATAAGAATATTTAAATGTGAGGTTAAACACTGTTTGTTTGATCTTAACAATGTACAGAATAAGGATATCTAAATGTGAGATTAAACACTGTTTGTTTGATCTTAACAATATATGTAATGAGGATAGGTAAATGAAAAAGAGATTACTGTTTAAATGTAATATTCAGAATACAAATTGTTTTAATGATTTCTAAGCATTACTTCTTTTCTGCTTTTTTAAGGCTACTTAACCAAGGATCTCCGCCATTACTTGAACACTCGTTTTCAGAAAGGTTCAATTGATCACGATCTACAGAACACTATCAGAGACAGCCTCTACCTCCGCACAATACCTTGTAAGTTTTAAGTACCTTTTGTTATTTAAATTTTTGTTGTTATCTTTCTGTTTGGCTCAAGATGTTATTTTAATTTTTAACAAAAATATTTTGCAAGAACCTTGTTTGTTATTAACTTTGTTAGCTATAGAAGGGCTGTAAATGTTTTATTTTTTGTTTAATTTCACAAGAATGTGATCATACAATGTACTGAGTAATAGGCTTTCTCGTAGTGTCATGTCTTTGTAACAAAAGTTTGTGAACAGGATCCAGAAACATGCTGTAAAATTCAAATCTAGTAAAATCTATTTTCCTTTGATCTCAGGATCTCCATTTTAGGTCTTTGTACTCAACTGATTCTGTATTTAAATTATCAGGGTCAGCACACACCTTCCAACTTGATTGTTATGATGTCAAAACTTTGTATCTAATCCAACTTGAGGAAAAGTGAATAGTTTTAAATTTTTTGTAAATGTATAAAATGATCTCCAAGGATTATACATTTTAAACATTTATTTCATTAAAGTCCAACACAACCTGCAAGGCCAGGAGTGGTCAGTGGAGTAAATTATACATTTTAAATATTTCTTTCATTAAAGTACGACACAACCTGCAAGGCCAGGAGTGGTCAGTGGAGTAGATTATACGTTTTAAAGTTTTCTTTCATTAAAGTACGACACAACCTCCAAGGCCAGGAGTGGTCAGTGGAGTAAATTATACATTTTAAACATTTCTTTCATTAAAGTACGACACAACCTCCAAGGCCAGGAGTGGTCAGTGGAGTAAATTATACATTTTAAACATT